TCCGTTGTCAGACCTGACTAAGAAGGGACAACCAAACCAAGTCGTATGGTCCGATGCACAAGAAAAGGCCTACAGCGCACTGAAAACAGAGCTTACGAGTTCGCCGATCCTCCGACTGCCTGATAACGCGAAACCATTTACACTGAGAACTGATGCATCTGACACAGGACTCGGAGCGGTATTATTGCAGGAGCATGATGGTAAACTTTCGCCAGTTAGTTATGCTAGCAGGAAACTAACGGAAAGCGAGAAGAAGTACAGTACGATCGAGAGAGAGTGTCTCGCGGTAGTTTGGGCCGTCCGAAAGTTCCTGATATTCCTTTATGGAACAGAGTTTACATTGCAAACCGACCATCAGCCTTTGGTCTATTTGAAGACAGCGAAGTTTCTCAACGACAGAGTTATGAGATGGGCGATGTTCTTGCAAAACTATGGTATTAAGATTGAGTCTATCAAAGGAGTCGACAACGTTGGTGCCGACTACCTCAGTAGAGTTTGTTAGAGACTTGTTATAGACTAGTTTGATAGTCAAGAGACGGTGTCTGATACTCATTAGAGACTTGTTATAAACTTGATATACATTCAAGAGACGGTGTTTGATACTCATTGGAAAAGATTTGCGTTTTGTTATGAAATTTTGTAAATTTCTCAAAAAAGGGGGTCGTGTCACAAATCTTTAGTCTCAATTGAAAAACTAACGCTAGGGGGAGCTGTGTAGCTCTGCAGGGGGGAAGGACACTTTGATTGGGGAAGAACCAAGATGGCTGACTTAACATAAAAGTTTATATTTTCCGTTATTTATTAAAATTTATAAAAGTACGTCGTAGAGTAGTAGTCCTGTAATGTGACCAAGACCGGTTTCTCAAGAATTCCGTGACACATACCTATACGTTATTTTTGCGCTTCGGACCTCATGTACGCGTGTCTGACAAATATATTGCCGCTGATGTATTATTCAGTTACAGACACAAAGCTATAAGCCGGATCGTCAGAAAAGTGTCAGTTTACAATTGTTTCAGCTGCAGTACTGATGTCTGATGAATTAACCAGCATGAGCTCAACCTTTGAATTTACTATATGAGTAAACACGTCCGAATTTATTATTCAATACAATAAATTCGCGACGCATGTTAATTGAACCCTAACCCCTAATCTAACCCCGACTCTAACCCTATAATCTTAATCTGACCCTAATTTAAACTTGACGACCTTTTTTTTCAAAGACAATTCAGGCAAAGCATGCATGGTTTCGATATTTCGAAGACAAAAGCATAAGCATCAGGCATGCATGGTTTCGATATTTTGAATTAGCCACAAACATAAATGGTTTCGATATTTCGAAGACGTGTGGGCTCTTTGCCTAAAACAATACTATTTTTGCCATCATTTTTTCGCTATTTTCAGAATGTATAAGGAAATTTAGTATGGTTTTAGTGAACTGCTTTAATTGCTTCATAAAAAACCCTTAAAATATTATAAAATATTCTTGGTTTTGCTTATAATCTACTTTCAACCTTTTTTAAATATTTTGTGTGATATTGAAATAACAAATTTTTCATCGTCACATTGACCATTAAGAGTATTTTAAACAAGAAATTCTTGTTTTCATGCAAAGCGCTAGCCATTGTATTTTTTATATTATCTTGCCACAATCATGACGACCAGAATCATTGCATAATTTAGTTTTCTCTTTCATTTTGCTCTCAAATTTAGCGAAATAGAATGTTGGACCATGTATAGTATTAAGTAGTAGATCCAACCCAGGATCTTTGTAGTAGAGCATAATTTTTAACGTACGTATCACTGATAGATGCAGCTTACTTAATCTTTTTAAATTATTATAACGCAACTTTATGGTAATTTTTTCACTTCGTATCATCGTATCACTGAAAAATATATCTTGCCCGGTCATTTTAAAAAGCATGGCTTTATAATACCAGCGCCAATTCAGTGACCTTGATTAATCGAGCGGAAACAATGGAAACATGCCTAGGCGTGCGACCTTTTATTGACCTTTCCCTTACCAAACATTCAACATCAAGGCAACTAGGCAAATACACATTCAAAATGATTTTCATTCTAATAACGATTGTTATCACCACTTCATTGGAATGTACCAATGCTTGTGGGGTATCAACACATATTTCCATTGCAAATGAAGCATTACAGTCGTTTGCCGACACTGCGGAATACAACGTTAGTTACCGAGATATTATTTTGAATAACTACGACGCATTCTACGCTGGCAGCAATTACCCAGATGCTATGTATTCATCCATATGCTTCGGTGGTCGTTATCACGATATTTCCGAGGATACTCACTGGGCACCATTCCTTAACGCAACTGTGAACTACATTAGGAAAACATACACTAAACCATGGAGTAAGGTAAAGTATCGGAGGATACGCGCCAAGTCTGCCCCCAAAGGTTTTTTATTTCGCCCATCCTTCATATCTGTAGACATCTCTGGTGAGTAATTACGGAAGTAAGAAAGGGAAGTACATTAGATCAAATATTTGAATAGGAAGCGACGGGCATCAGGAGCATTAATATTTTAATAGGGGTTTTTCACTGAAAGAAAATAAAAACTTGAAAATTAAATCATATTGAAATTTTAGCTTTTTAAAAGGTTAAATTGAGACCCTTTGCACCACGATCCCTATACAAGCGCGGCGGTCAATGCCTCAATGGTCATGCGTCGTATATATTAACAAATGCATCATGCATGATGCATGCATGGTATACTTTCTATTTATAGGCTGCAGAGAAACTTATTGCGTTTACATTTGGTGTTGTTTCCCACCAAGTGGCTGATATAACATGGCACAGTCTAGGTATAGACCAGGGGTTTCTACGGATTATGGCAAACGTTAATTTCCATGGGTCGTTTTCTACTGCTCATCCCCTTGGCGATGCTGGTGGTGATATGGTTTCTCTTTTTGAGGGAGATATCCACGATATCTCATTATCAAAAACATGGTATTATTTTTATACACACTCCTATGCAGCTATTAGGATACCTGGAGAGATTCAGAAATGTTATATATCACCCACCGCGGGATATATCCAATCCATATATATATATATATATATATCTATATATATCTATATATATATATATATATATATATATATATATATATATATATATATATATATATATATATATATATATATATATATATATATTTATATATATTTAAAATACTCATTATTAATTCGTATAATAAATATGAGAGCCCAACATATAACTTTTAACAAAGCCATTAAAACAGTTTTAAAAGATTGTAAAGAATTTTAATTGTAACGTTTCGTCTTTAACTTAAGACATCTTCAGATTAGATAAAATTACACGAGATGTGAGCTAATTATAATCTATTTACAAGGTGTTATGTTACTAAGGATAATATTTTCACTAACTTCCACAGCTTCATTCCTCTTGCACACAAAGGCTCTTTAATCTCTTGCCTATACTTTACAGAATTTTCAACCTCTGTTCTAGCTATAAAAACTTTCATACTCAGCTTGAAGTTATTAGGAAACTGTTTAACTTGAATGGTTTCCCCTTCCACATGTTTGA